TGTAATATAAGTTTTCACAAAAAAAAGTTATATACCATATACATACATTAATAAGAGCAAAAGGCAGCCCACGTCTGTATTTTCACTTTTTTTCGCTTTTTACATGCAATAATTTAAAATAATTTTTTACCAAAGGTCCAATTTCGAACTTCGAATGCCCATATCTCGATTTCGGCGGCTAACGAAGAAATTACTTTTTTTTACTAGTGACTTAATCTCTTAAAAAAAAAAAACAAGTTAGTTTGATCCAATACCCAGCCGGGTGCTGTACAGTGTTTTTAAATATTTTACCTGCGTATTTTTTAATTGTTAATATATTTGGAAAAAATATTTAGTCTAAAATTGTTTAGTTTTGTTGAGTTTTAAGAATATTTTTGTGTTTTTCTCCCAATCGGGAAATTTCAAATTTCTTTTAAGTATCATAAAACGACTATAAAAATATGTGGGACCGAAAATGGGATCAGAGAATTTTTGCGCTGTCGGTACTGCGCGTCCTATACACTGACGGCCAAAAATGAATGAACAGTGGTATGTTTTTAATATTTACAATCTTTTTCGAGCTAAAATTTGTTTGTTATTTTATTATAAAAATATGGTTCATGCCATATGGACCACACTTTCAGACTTTATACAGAATTTAAAAAAATTCCATTATGCAGTTAACAGGCTTATACATCTTTAGTAAAATAAGTGCAAGTTTTGAGCGTCTAAAGAATGACATTGACTTTTAATAATTTTTTTTTACGGCATTTTGCACTTTTTTCCATATATGCACAAAAATTTCTTGTGGAAGAATACGCGCTACACCGAAAAAGATAACAAAAAAAGTTTAGCTTGAAAAAAATTGTAAATATTAAAAACAAAACACCATTCATCCACTTTTGACCGCCACTGTATATGCAGCGGTGTCAGGCGCGTCGTAGAATACACTAAATGCTTGCACTTTGCAGGGATGTAACTAAATAATTTTGCATTGAGTGAAAATTGAGAAATACAAATTTAAACCAAAGTTGTAGTCAAGAGATTTAGATTTTATTTTAATTCGGTGATGCTGAATTTTTGAAGTTAAAAAAAAATTTTAAAGCTTGCTTGCTATTATCAAAAAAAAAACACATTGCAATTTTACATATAGAGGCACAAATATAAATATATTTATTTCTAAGTGAACGTTAATTAGTATACGGAACTGGGGACTTTAAATTTTTACCAAAACTACGCCCACATAAGGCTCAGCCATATATTTGCTCGGATCGAGGATATCACTGAAAGAGTAAGAAGCGAATATTAAAAAACACGAAATTAAAACCATGGAAAAAGATATTAAAAAGTGTCACTTACCCATCATTATAAGCTGATTGCAACGAAGAAGTAATCACCTCAGCTTGTCGACCCATATCAAAGTGTTGATTGATATTCAAACTCTGCTCTCTGGCGCCAAGATTCAGCACAATTACGTACATAGCATCACCCGGCGCTTCACTATGACAAAAAGTACAAAAATACATATATATACAAAAAAAAACAGTATTTGCAAAACAAAGTGAGCAACAGCGAAATAAACAAAGCCGATACTTCGTTGCCACTGTGAAGTGCATAATGCGATGAGTGCATGAAAGTGCCACCAGCACTTAAGTGCATTGTGAGTGTGCTAATAAGATACATATGTATGTACATATCTGTATGCACATTCATATGTATGTATGTATGTATGTTAACATGTGTTTACACCCACCGCGAGTAGATGATAATGTCATTGCCAATTGCTTTTATCTTAAGTGGACCATCTTGCAGCGAGCGTAATTTACGTAGGCGAATTAATTTCATAAATATTTGTAGATGACTTTTTGGTGCGCGTAATTGGGCCAGCGCATTATTTGTGCGATAATTACCAGCGACCGGCAGCCAAGTGTTGTCGGCGTCGGAAAAGCCTGCAGACAACGGAGAATAAATAAAAAAGACGGTATTGTACGTAAATAAACAAAATAACGAGAAATTAAAAGGGATATCGCATTTTTCTTTTTGTATTTAAAAGCTCGTGTTACAAAAAGATTTAATTTTTCCGTCGGAAAAATAGTAATTATTAAGCATATTATTTTAAAAGAACTTTGAGAAATACAAACCGGCATTTTTGGAGGCATCCCACTGGTAGGGTGTGCGACAAGGATCGCGCGAGTAACTCTCGTAGTTACTGGGATTAGCATTGCAGCCCGACGGATCGACCGTTTGCTCCCAGGTTATTTTGCCATCTGTCATGCAGATTTCCTCGCCCTTAAACGATTTTTAATTTTGATACGTGAGTGGCTACATAATCGAATAATGTAAGGAATTGTGTTTGGTTCTTAAAAAATCCCAAAATGACTTTGAACGAATTATGGAAGTATTGGGAACAAAAAAATCGGAAAAATTAAAACGCTCCGCTTCACTATATTAGCTTATATCTGGACTACTGGTCATCGTAGAAGCTTCGTTTCTGTGTCATTTTAAAGAAAGAAACATCACAACTTTTCGGCATTATCCTCGTTTTTACAGCTCCTATACTGTAGTGCGAACCGGTGCGTAAAATTGCTAGCATATTCAAAAACAAAGTGCTAAAATATGCGACAAATGTTAATAACAATGTCCTTAATACCATTTTTGCATAACTTTTTCGCGATTTGAAAAACCTGAAATATTTTCTGAACTGCTATGAAATACAAAATCGAGGTTCAGAAATGTTCCTTCTTTCAATAATCGTGAAAATTATTATTATTAAAGGCGTGTTCTTCGCTTTTCTTCAAAATCGATCATGCCTCAAAATAAAACTAAAGCGATGCTTCTCCGATGCCCACAAGTTCAGATATTAGCTCGGAGCTTGAGGAAAAAATATGTACCCATTCAAGTGAAGCGGAGTGTATTGATAAATGCTCTTAAAAGTTACAACCTGCATCCCGCTTAGGATAATGACAAATATAAATCAAGTTCTTAAGTAACCAAAATAGTATGTCCAGTTTTTAAATGATCAAAATTTTTTAAACTACTATAAACTGACTCCCAGTTCTTAAATTTATGTCTAGTGAATACATAAGAAATAAGAAATATAAGATAAGATAAAAAATCAAATATCAGTCAGTCCAAAAAACTAACTGAAATGAATTTTTCTTTACAAATTTTAATTTCTTTCCGCCAAAAAAGATTTTTAATTCAATATTTACTTTGACTACAGGTGTATGCAGCACTCAGAAAAAATTCAGCTAAATATATTTATATTAACACATGATTTGTTACCTATAACCAATGTAATGTAACCATAACCAAATCATGTGCTGAGAGAAAAAAAAATAGTTGACGTAACTAAACCCTTTTCTCAGTGTGGTTTAAACTCTCGTTAACGTAGCACTGTAGACATGTATGAAAATCGGTAGTTAAACCCTTGTAAACTTTATGTATAATTTTTATGTTATCAAAGCTATAGTTTTTAAATGTTTTGATTTATGCCCAGTAAGGACAAATCGTGCTCAGCCGAATTGTATTTTTTAACTCATTATTTCCTCTATTAAACTTAAACGGATAGAGTTTAGTACTTATGGTTATGGTGGTGATCTTATCAAACATGAAATATGATCTGCGTGGACACACCATTCGCTTAAACTTTTTAGCAGGCCCAAAGGCGAACTGAAAAGCACTTGTCAAAATCCCACTAAAGCCAACCATTGTTTCGTGCATCAAAAGAATTAAAACCTTATTTGTCAATTGCACGTAAGGCCACACGATAACGGCAGCGCTTGAATGATAGGATCGTGACATGTGTACGAGTTCTTGCAATACCGATTAAAAAGCAAGCGTGTTGTAGTACCTTGTGTTGTTGTAGTACCGACGTTATAAAGGAGTCTTCAAACTTTCTTACTGAATTTCACTGACAAATGCCACCAAAATAGTTGCCTAAAGATCCATATAATGTCATAATTTTATAAGGGTCCGCTGTTGACATATAATCAGAACTATTAACAAACGCTCCTAAATTTGGTAACTGATGAATCCAGGCTCGACGATAACATAAGTGAAGTAAGCGTATTGCAGCCATGGTTCCAGAAATGCCTTGCCATGAGTATAGATAGGGAGACAGGCATAGATAGGCGTCGACACATGCATATTATAACGGACAGGCAGTTTATAACGTTGATAACGATGTTTGCCGGGAAGAAAAATTTAACAAGCGGTCGAGATAATGGCCCTAAGACCACAAGCACTGGTTGATTGTCACACCGCTACGAACGGTAATTGCTAAGTGGTAGCGAAAATTACTGCATGCAAAGAACGAAATTTTACATGTGGAAGCAATTGCTTAAAGAGAGCCCCTCTTCGCTGTGATCTCAGGGAAGACCACAGCCTTGCAACGGCTGAGTAATTTAAAAGGAATGTTAAAATGTCTCCATCTGGTCGTCCTACAACCAGCTGCAGCAGCAAGATTTTAGTGTGAATTTGTGAACCGAAGGAGATTCCTTTCTCTACCTCTGATTTACTCTGTGCCTGAACGATCGTACAGTAGCTCATGTCCTAGTTTTCGCTTTACGTTCCCTGAGCTTATACTAGAGTCATTAGTCCAAGAATAGTCAATATGTTAATTAAAGTAGTACTACCTTAACTTTACTCTAGTAGACCAGCCCTAGGGGGTCTTATCTATAAATAAGCTGTTTTTTGATGGCAGCTACTTTTGGCTGGACAACACTGCAGTGATCTACAAGCCTAAATTTAAGGTTGATTGAAATTTCTCAGCAGAGAATACCCCCACCGATGTTTTTTCCAAGCGTCGAAAATTCCAAAGATGAGTTGTAGAGTGGAAAAAGGTTAATTAGTTTCCAGTACAGTCGCTACTATCAGTGATAAATAAATTCACGTCCTGGGTAAGCTAAATCTTACTACATCCCTTGATCCAGATGCCTTATCTGAGATATCGACGAGCAAGACGTTAAGCACCAGAAAGGGTACGCTCCTAAATGCCCCACTGATTCCATTGAGGTTGGCCCGTTGTACTCTCCTTCTCCACGAGACGAGTTACCCATACAAGAATGACATCATCAAATAACATATTATAGTTATATCTAAAGTACTAGCTAATTCCTCTTTAAATAAGAATCAGCTCTAACATAGAACTCACGATCGTCTACTAAATGGTATTGGTTTCTTATACTTACATAATAAGTCACAGCATTGCCCGGCAAGGTCTGCAGCAATATTGTAAACAAATCGGCACGCTGTACTCCCAACCGAGTGGAATAGCGTGGATTATCGTGATTACCCAACACCCAGTTAGCCAATACACCATCCGGCATGCTGTTCATCCAACGCGAAATGATATCAACTATTTCCTGCGCTGTTGACTGATTCTTTAAGCTGTTCATGAAATAAAAATTGAATGGCACCATCGACCCATTTCTTTCACCATCACCATAGTACAACATCAAGTTATCAAAAGTCGTGTAGGCCTCCGTCAATAGTACGCGTGGCTCACCACCTTTCTGCTTCCTATACTGCTCTACCAATTCACGCCACTGATATACCATTTCAATGGACTCAGGTTGATCTAGTGTGTATGTGTGATTCAAGTGACACCAATCGTCTGGATCAGGGCAAATGCTTACATCGTCAATAACTGGCTCATCGAGGAAGTTGCCATTCGCATCTGGTGCCTTTTCGAACATGAAAGGCAAAGCGTCAATACGAAATCCTGATATGCCTGTATCCAACCAATAACGCATCACTTCCTTCATCTTAGCCACTACCAATGGGTTACGAAAATTCAAATCCGCTTGCTTGATTGCGAACTGATGCAGATAGTATTGCTGCCGCTTCTCATTCCATTCCCAGGCGCTGTAGCGGAAAGCGCTTATCCAATTGCTGGGAGGCTGTCGCTTGCCGTTGGCATCCACAGTGCCATTGTGCCAAACGTAAAAGTCTTCATAACCTGGTTCACGATTAACCGATTTCTCAAACCACTCGCACTCATCGCTAGTATGATTTGGCACAAAGTCGAGTATAATGCGAATGTCGAGTTGTTTGGCGCGTGCAACGAGCGCTTTGAAATCCTCCATAGTACCGTATTCGGAGTGTATGGCATAGAAGTCGGAGATGTCGTAGCCAAAGTCAATCATAGGAGACTTGAAAATAGGCGAAAGCCAGGCAGCAGTGAAGCCAATATCTTTTAGGTATTGCAGTCTCTCAGTAATTCCTGTTTGGGGGGGGGGAAAAAGTTAGGTAAATATGATTCATAATTTGTTTGGGCCTTTACCGAGCTGTGAGGACTGTTCATGAATTTTTCAGGATTTCTTGCAACTTGTAATTTTTCCAGAAATTTCGATTTTCGCTTTTTTCGAAGCCTTTTGAAAGCCTTCAGTTTCAATAAATGTATTTAAATCTTAATTAAGCTTCTTATAAATGTTGATTTCTATCCAGAGTTACGTGAGTTTGAATTAGTCAAATTACAAATCCAAAAATTAAACTGATTTCTGAATTGAAAGTTGTATAAAATCATAAACACTTAATATAAATTTTTTATTTGTTCGGCAAATAAAATCAGAAGCATGTTTTCGAATCATCACCTCACAAGATGCGCAGATTGGAAAAAAACTTGAAATTCGTGGGTAGTTTTAATTGAAGAAATCACGAATCAAATTTATTTGTTTGAAAATTTAATCACAAATTTTTTTTTTTATTTAGTCGATGAAACAAATCACTAGTCAAATAGATTTCTTAAATGATAGCATATTTAAAATCAGAAAGGATTTTCAATCATGCAACCGTGCTTTCTATCTACTAAATAAATGCATTTTTCACTTCCACCATAGAACCATTTACCATTTAGATCACCGATTCCATCACCGTTACTATCACGAAATGAGCGCGGATAAATTTGATAGTAATTGCCATTTTCCCACCATTCCTTGGTGTGGGCAATATTCAAGCGAACAGCCAAAAAAGCTGTCGTTGCTAATAAAAAACGAAATAAGTTCATCATCAATTAGTAGAAGAGAGAATTTCACAACATTCCGTTATTTGGAATTACAACCTCGTTTGCAAGCTAAATTTCAATACTGAATGCTCAAATTTTAAATTCGGTCACACTTATAGCTAATTATTAGGGCTCGGAATCTCCTGCAAATGCATTTTTTTATTGGGCATCTTCAAATCGAAATGGCATTCAATCGTTAGTGCATATTTTTGCATATTTTGCCGTAAATTCCCGATTTTGCATTTTTTGCAAAAATTACCTGCTTTTGTATATTTCTTATGGTTTTTGCATATTTTTGCTTTCTTTCATTTACAACCATTTAAATTTAGTGCGAAATCTCTTGACAAAAAAATTCCCCTTGACAAAAAAATTGCCGTTGAGCAACTCACCTCTACCTCTGTTAGATCTCAACTAGTTGAAGACTATAGGAGAGAGCTGGCCTATATGTATCTCTGATCAATACGAAATCACCCTAATATGGGTTCTGGGACATATGGACATACTTATACGGAAACGAGGCCGCGGACGAAATAGCAAGGTGCGGCTCCGAAGTGAATGTGTCCCGCGCGGTGGACGGTTATCACTCGAAGGCCAAGCAGAGGTGGAATCGTACAGGATCGTACAGTATTATCCGGCAGTTCTGGCTGTACTTCGATCCACTTTAAACCAAAGCTCTCTTAGGAGTGAGCAAAGAGCATACCTACAAACTTACTGCAGTCTTCGAAAGAATGAGACTAAATACACTTTGCAAGCCTTTCCTACAGAATGTTTACGAGTACAGCTGCCTCTCTCTGTATGAAATACCTACTGAAATTCATTAAAGCCGGCAAATGGCTGTAGGTTGCACGAGTTGTGGAATCAAAATGTAACTCAGATTGTAACTCACTGCTTGATTATAAACTAATTTTATACATAAGTAAATATGGATTGTATGAAGTGAATTGTTTTCGTTATTTTCTTGTTAAATGCATGATTTATTTATTTTTACTGGCAACAAAATATTACGAAAATATTTTTAATCGCATTTTTTTTGCTTATAGCGCATATTTTTAAATTTTAGGTGCTTATTATACATATGCGCATAGTTACGATTTTTTAGTGCATGAGATTCCGAGCCCTACAAATTATGTATGTATATTTTAGAACTGAGTACACTTCAAAAAAAACAATGCGCAAATTAATAGAGCCATTTCGCGAAATTTTAATTATACTCATTAGAGTTTTTGTATTGATTGAAAGTGACTAAACGAGCTACTTTTAAATGTTAGTGGAAACGTATCAATTCCTACTTACTCATATTATTATTTTTTTTTTTTTTTAATTATTACATTTTTTTCAAGGCATATGGAACAAGTAGTAGCATTAGAGCAAGAACAACATTTGCTTATGGCATCTAAAGTGTCAAAAAGTGTTGGTACATGTATTATTTGCAACTTTATGAAATCGGACAATAACCACACGGAACTTCCACGTAACGGTATTTTCACTATGTAATAATGCTAAAATTATAGTTAACTAAAATATTTTACTAAAACAAGAAAATGAGTTGATGTAAACATTGTAACAAATGTATTTGCATTGAACTCATAGGTTAATAAGCATAATTTATTTTTGTAGTACACTGAGGGAAAAAGTATTAAAATCAAATAGAAACGTAATTGATCTTACTATATACGTCCAAGAAAGTACTGTATATTGGTAAATATTCAATTCAATTACGCGCATATTAAAATGACTGCGCTCGTTCTGAAAAAGCATCCGTGAATAGTCCTGATAAAAACCAAAAAAAAAAAATATTTAATTTGCAAGTTGCCTGCGGTGGAATCTGAAACCCTGGCCCTCACTGGCTATCAACAAATTGTGGCAAGCATCTTTGCGCACTCAGCTACTGCCAGACATATAAATGCGCTTTCAAATGTTGAATTTTTTATCAACACCACAGCACGCGATTTGTACTGATAAATATGTACTATGTTTGTATGTGTGTGTTGTTACCGATCTACATGCTGGGGATGCATGCCCTGCAGGGAAAGCTATTAGTTATGAACTAGAATTGTACCAGTTTGCGTTTCAGCCAACTAATTCACGTTCTATCCTTTTTCAATATTAGCGACTGGTATTTTTAACATTGTGATGTCCTACGAGTTGTCAATTGTCAGGCTATGCATCAGCGTCTACTAGTAGAAATAGTAGTGCCAATTCAGCCCCCGTGAAACGCATAAGTATGCCTTTTAGCTCGCGAAGCTTCAACAGTACCCGACAGAGCAAAGCACTCGTGTGGTATGCCTGAGGTCCCAAGTTCAAGTCCTGATGCAGGGGTAACACTTTTTTTTAATTTTTTTTTTATTAATGATTTTTGTTGTGATTTTTAAATTTAATTAATACACATTTACATATATATACTCAGATGTGAACAGTCAAATACGTGCGTAATAAATATTTGTATAAAAATATTATTTTTAAATAAGAACATTTCTAAACAATAATCAAATATAAAGTTTAAAGCATTTATTACTATGCATTATTTCCCTCAGTGTACAATAACTTACACAGTAGCTCAAATGAGCGTTCACATGTCGATTCGCTTTCAATATTTCCATAAAAAATGTTATTTAACTACCAACGAACAAACTTTTGTATTCAATTATAAACAAAATATAAATAGAGGTGGTAACCTTCGTTCGTTATTTCTAGTTAAAAGCTTTTTCAGTCCTCTTTCATTTGATACCAAATTTGTTTAATTTGGATAAGCGGTTTTTTTTATTATCCGGAAATGACTTTCATTTCGGATTTAAAAAATATTTGGCCAAAACAAACTTTTATTTACCGTCCCGGAAAAAAAATATTTCAATTTAGCCATGACGTGCCAACATAAAATCAGAACGTATAATCGTAATTAATTTAAGCGTCTCATAAATATATCCGTGTACCTTACGTGGTAAGTGGTAAGGACTCCCATGCATAGGTAGAAGAAAATGTTGTCCAGATATAAAACCCAGCTTCTGCAGACAACTAATATATCTGGAATTGAATTCCAAATTTCCAAAATGTTACTATTAGCAATTTTTTCCCCAAGGCGTTGATGGCCTTTATAATTCGACTTATTACAACTCTTTCCTTGTTATGTTTTTAGTCCATATAAAATTACACTGGAACTCAATCAGTTGCATTCCGAAATCTTCGATATCAAAGCAATCAAATTTGGACGAGTTCGACTTATCAAGTGAAGTCACATACATATATAACGTAATAAAATTGAGTGTTTCCGATAACTCATTGAATTCAGAAAAGCTCTATGAAATTTTTTCGATGACAGAATTTATTACCAAATAAAATACTTCAGTGAATCTTTCCCGTCTGGTTTTTCATATAAATCCAAATCGGATTCTAAATTTTTTAAGTTTGGGAAACATTTGTAATTTTCGGAAGCAATATCTTTATCAAAAACTTTCATGAGATTTATCATGATTATAACAGTTTTATCGGCGCCTTGAAGCTTTACGTTAAAATGCAATAATTTCTAGCACATATCCGTTAAACCTTCGTTTATTTAATGCCTGCGATGCGAATGTGGCTACGCCCATATATTACCAAGGGAGGTGAAACCAAGCTTATCAAACAAAGCTTGTTGATATATAGATTTTTTTTTTTTTTTGTTACTGTAGGTATTTTTGTCTCTCTGTATAGTTGGTTGTAAGTAGATCTATATTTGGTCTCCAATTTAAGCGAAAAAAGAAAATTGTTTCGATTAGGTAGTACCTACTACTAGAATAGCGGAACTGGGTTCATCAATGGCCAGCCCTGCTCTAGCTCATCTGTAACTTGGTTAAAAATTGATTACAGTATTGGAAATAACATATTTAGCTAATGTTTCGGCTGGTAGCGGTCGTGTATAGAATAAACCGGGAAATAAAACTGAAATTAATTTAAGACAAAATTCGCTTGGCTTAGAACCGATATAAATAATACAATTTTTTGTAAATATTGTTAAGTATTGTTTTAAATACTGTTTAACTTTATCTTGAATTTCAATTACAGAGTTGTTTCAGCTAGTTCTTTTTTTAAATAAACTAATGTACGGGATGGTCAGTAGTCCTTTTTTACTAAGCGAGATAAATTTTTGTACTCCTACAAGACCCTCGAGACATTTTAAACCTATTGTGTGTTGAGTATTTGTAAATCAAGCTTTGAAATGCATGATGCTTTTCGTTGTTTATGCCAAGATTTTAAAAAATATTATTATTGGTTCGACATATGTATCTGAGTCGCTTTTTGTAATAAAGAAAGATTTGCTCAACATGTTAACTAAATAAATTAATATCTTTAACCGGGAACGAAAAAAATTACACAATATCTCTAACTGCTTAGTACAATTGTAATGACAATACGAGCATGGATCGGAAACTCGGCCTTTCCGACCAAGCCTAACAGTTCGTCCACAACGCGGAGCGGAAACTAGGTCTTTCCGCCCGCCGCACACAAAAGTAGACTGGAGACTAGGCCTCCCCAGCTACCCAACTTACTATTTTATATTGTTATTATTATTATTACAAATGAATATGTATAATTAGTTTACTCTGTAATACATCATACATACTCAAATATCTAAATCGTTTTATCTCATTTGTCTGTAAGAAAACATTTTTCTGTAGACTTAAATAAATAAATATATATGAATAATATGTATGCATTTAGAAATGTAAACAAACTTTGGTTTGTCTTAAAATAACCGTATGTAGCCATTAAAAAAAAAAAACTTTATTTTCAATATCGCCATCATTCAACAGCCCCCTAGATGCCAGAACTCAGTTTTGCATTCCCTTCGCAGTATTAAAAAAAAATTTAACGGGCATAACTTCTTTGTGCCCGTAGGCACGCAATATACAAAGTATTTTTTTTTTTTTAATTTTAATGTCGCGATCTCTTCTTGTCCATAACAACTAATTTGCTGTTAATTTGTATACAATTTTTGCTATAAGTAAAAAATTTATCATCAAATTAAACTAATAGCGATTTCAATTCTACAAAAAATTGTGCATTCTCATCGCCCTCTTCTTGGTGTTTGTTCGTAGAGG